TATACAAATTGTTTATTTTATTTTATTTTTATTTCCTATACAATAGTAATTCTTTTTATTAAATATTTGACATATTATTTTTAGAGCAATAAATAAAGTTCCAGGTTTTCACTCTCACACACTTACATATATATATATATATATTTGGTATAAATAGGCATTGGCTGATGGCCTCTGGAAGCCGTAGAGGAATGAACTGAATATGTTAGACTTCTTTATAATCACATACGGGATACAAAAAAGTGATCGTAGAGAAGTGTGACAATTATAGAGATCAAATATATTATCGTTATATTTATTAATAGTTTGCTTTAAAAAATGTGTAATTTATTTTTTGAAAAGTTTGATCGACTTAAATAAATCTTTATACGCGCATTTTTGTAAGATTTAACCTTGTCATCGTGGCTATATTCTACTGTTCCAGAAGATTTGTAAAAAGGGTAAAAGAGTCATAATAAAGGAAAACAAAAAATATAATAATAAATATGGTAAAAAAAGCGTAGGAATAAACAGAAGAGTGTATTAAGGTAAATTATATTGACATTATATTAGAGAAACCCACATTGGCAAATTCGTAGTTGAGTATGGCTTGAAAGCCTTTCACTTTGCTTCTCTCAGTTCTGGCCAATAAAATGCAGTGTCTTATATTCTTTTGAGTAATTTTGTAGGATATTGATGTATAATGAAAATATTATTACAATGTTAATGATATTTAAAAATTTTATAGGAAAGTCAAACATCTCTTTACCTTAAAAACTTATTTATTAATATTTTGAAAAGGTTTAACAGCAACTTTATGAAATGATATATTAAAAAAAGAGTGATTATTAAAGATATTGTTAAAATGAGATTAGAACTAATAGAAATTGTATTAAAGTTTATTATCTTGTTTTCAAGTAACATTTTTTTAGTGCTAAATCAATAAAAAAATCATTTATTTGTTTTATATCGATACGTATTGGCTTTGTCAATTATGGCACAAATTAGTCAATAAATTAATATCACGGGGTAATTAAAATAACAGAAGAGAAAACATGGCAAAATAAGTTTATTCTTAAAAAACGGGTTTAAATATTAGCTGATGACTTAAATTTTCACGATATATTTTTGAGCTATATTGTGTCTTGATTATTTATTTATGGAATTTATGGGAACCTTCACTTCTATACATTTTAGAAAACTTTGGTTACAATATTATAACAAATTGACAATTTTTTGTTTAATCTCTTTTCACTATCCTAACTCTATTTCTGCAACTCTATTGCTACATTGATCTATATTTTTAAAATTTTACAAATTTAACTCTGAGAGAAAAATTAGTTTTAGAAAATCCATTCTCTAAATAAATCAAATAATCATCCAATAATTAAGTACAATATATTACCAATTGCTCTGATTATAGATAAAATCATAATCAACAAAAATACTGTATTTAATAATAATAATAATAAATTAATTAATGATACCTTTTTTAAAAAATAAATATAACTTACCAAATGCAAGATAAGGATTATAGACACTGCCATAAACTGAGAAATATTTTGTAAAATTATTTGATGTGAATAAAAAGATTATTAAACCATTCGAAAATATATATTTGCACATTTATTTTTAGGGCACTCATATATATATATTTTTAGTAGTTGACTAATAGATTGTTGAATGCACATGGGCATTCCCAAAAAACAAACATAAGGATTTACCCGAAATTTAAAAATGTAACTTCATCAAAAACAAATATCATCAAATAGCATAAATATTCTTCACAATATTGACTAATTCTAATATTTTTTTACCTTTTGGGTTACGAAATTTAAAAATTTCGGAATTTTTCAATAATTCTTTGATTAGAAGATTATATTCTTTTTCCGTTGTTTCAAAAAAATATTTTGTATTTAATTTAACTTCAATCATTTCACTTGGTGTTGCGTTAGTAACCCAAAGAAAATGATGAAGTCTCCAACATGCTGTCTACTTTTTCAAAGTTGAACGTACATTCTGATTGCCAATTTTTTTGTTTATCCGAGATTTTATATCTATGTCCTTCCAATTATCTGTTGATTTATCCAAAGTCTTTTGGCTCACTTCTCATTGTTGTTCCTAATAGCAAAGAATCATCAAAGTAATAAAGACTTCAGACAAAGAGTAAATGAGTTTAAGCATTTTATAATGCTGATTGTTAATTTCTTTTCTACATTGTGCAAAGTTTTGATCCCATAGATAAAAAAAACCTAAACAACTTTTAATATCCATTCGTAGTTTTTGCAGAGGCTCAAAAGAAGTTGGTGTTATGTCTTCTTTAAAATAACTTTCTATAGGCTGTAAATACATTTCATTCTGGTCACCCGAATTCGATACAAAACTCTCTAACTTTTTATTTATTTTTCTAAACCTTTTTAATTTCTCTGTATAATAATATGGCGGTTTATGTTTATTTCTAATAGCGATAGGAGTTGATCCTAATTGAAGTTCTAAAATTAAGTACAAAGTATTTGCTTTAATAAAATTAAAAATTTAAAACCACTAATACTTGAAACTGCACTATCTATATCTTTTATATTGTTATTCTTTGATAAAAAAAGTAACAAATTAATTATTTATTTATATGTGACTTCTTTGTTGAATTTTAAATTTACAAATACCAGAATATCATGATCTGATTCTAAAATTTCTATTTCATCTTCAAATATATCCATAGTATTTTTAAATAAATTAATAATATATAGTTTATACCAATACTTGTGATTAGAAAATCACATCAACTAACCTCTGTTTAATGCATGCTTAAATATATACATATAAATGACTATTTAGTAGAATTTTTTGTAAGAGCGTAGATAAATTTAAATATATACTTACTGAACTTTCATCATTGACTTGCTCATTATGCTCAGTTGTATCTCTCTTTATTGATAAATGAATCAGAAAACACCAACATTAAAAAAAAATACAATATCATAGAACTCACCTGAGTTTCTAATGAGTTCTGGAAAATATTATAAAAATATAATTTAATTACAAAAAAATATTATGATATTATAAGCTATCTTCGTAATAAGATTTATTCACCTTATTTATTTGATTATCTTTGGAATGATTTTTTTTGGATTTTTTTGAAGTTTTAAATTTTTGGTTAATTTTAGATTTGCGCTTTCGGGCCGAATCTCTTTGTTCATTAATTTCTTCACCCGAATCTGAATACTCATCAGGTTGTGAATCATTGTATTGTGATTCCTTTGTAAAGTTAATTGAATTATGTATAAATTTGATTACATTCGCTAATAACTCTTTGCTTCTCAATTTCTTTTAACCAAAAATGTTTAATTCTATAAAATAAAGTATTTGCTGTACGTACATTTAAGTTATTATATGAGTCCTCATTGTTTGTATATATAAAAAATATTAATAATTAGTAATGATTATTTAAACTCAAACTAACCGCTTAATATTTTCATACCAGATAATTATTATTATCTATATAGACAATTGGAACCAATAGAGATGCAATTTTAGCTTCATTAATTTCGTTGTTATTTTTTTGATGAATTATAGAATTTTGACCCTTTTTTGTTAATGTTAAATTATGTTAGTATTTTTATTATATTAAAATATTTATATAATTTTTCTTACCTTCTCATTATTTATAGAAGTTCTTTCATTTTCAATATTACTCTTTTAATAATAATAATAATAATTTACACATATAATTTAAAAAATGGCTATAAGTTTCTAATGTTAATTAAAAATTTACCTGATCATACTCATTGTTTAGCTGGCTTTCACTAATTTCTAAATTATTTCTGGCATCAGTTTGTAAAACTGATACGGCTTCTTTTTCGCTTGGTAGTGAAGGAATGCATTCTATATCACCACTCTTTAGTTACATAATGTCTTAACATTAGACTATCATTATTTTTTAGTTGATTAACTAGCAATATATTATTATTTTCTCATATTATCATCCTTATTTATTTTAGATTTATTCTTTGTGGTGCTATCTTGAGACTTCCTGTAAGTGCTACTCTTTGATGAACTTGACGAAGCTAAATTATCAAATATCATTTCACCCATCTCCTCATCTGTGTTATCATATTCATCAGATTCGGAGTCGATTGTTTTCTTTATAAATTTGTTGAATTATTTATGTATTCCGAATTTTAATTGAAAAATAAAAGTTTAATAATCCTACCTGATTAGTAGAATTTAAATTTTGTTCAAAACTCGATTCTGTATCTTCAACTTGCATAGCCTATAGATTTCCATTATATTAGTATTTTTCTAGGACAAACTTAAGAATAATGTCAATATATTGTTTACTTCGTAGTTTTCATCATTAATTATCATTTGATCTTTTTTATTTACTCTGGCGAGGTTTGTGATCTTTAAAAAATTTTCTCTATTAATGATTACACAACTCGGTGCGTCCAAATGTACCATGCTAGATGCTCCATCATTGAGATTAAAGGTAGCTGAGAGTAACAGATCATTAAAGATTACTGCTGCTATATTTCCACTCGTTGCCTTCCAGATAAAATTAATTAAATTTTTTATTATTTCGTCTTTGTCTTCTACGGTTTCTCATGGATAAATTTTCTAAGAAATAAAGTAATAACAAAAGTGAGAAATATATATATATATATGATTAAAATGTCATTATTATGCAATTTTTTAATATCAAGATATTATTTTGTAGTTATATTGTTATATTATATCAGTACTTAGCCAATATAATATTTTAATTTTTTTATAGTCTATAATTATAGAACGATCGAACGATCAATTTCTGCTTGTAATGTTTTGTAATTTTTACCTACATGGAACTATCTCAACGACTTTAATTACTGTATTTCTAAAACTGATGAGGTGGTTATATATATATATTTTCATCACATCTTTTTAACTACTGTATAGATTTTTAATATAGTTAACTCGAATGTGGCTATTTTATTATCATCACTATTTGAATATTTGAGGTGGTATATAAAGCGTATAAATCAAATTCCTATGAGAAAAAAGTGAATCATATAGTCTTTTCTTTAGTAGCATTATTCAGTAAACAATTCAATATCTATTTTCAAGATTCCAATTTAAAAATTTTTAATTAGTGTTTATCGATAAATAATATAGGATCTTTGCTAGGAAAATGACTTTTCGAGACTATTTAAGTCAATTTGAATAAACTTTTTTTTTATTTCATAGAGTTCACTAGACTCTATGAAATAAATAAAAAAGTTTATTCAAATTGAATTACTGGATCGCTAGTACAGTAAATTTAAATTTTATTTATAAATCTAAAAATCATTTTTTTAGCAAAGATCTCATATAATAAATGCATAGCAATGCTTATTATGTTATCTATTTGCATCTAGTTATCTAAAAAATGCTGATAGTTCGTACTCTAGCCGCGCAGAAAGAACAACTACACTATGATTGGATGAAATACACTTATTAGTTATAAAGTATCCGTACCTATTGCAATCAGAGTGCTGTGCGATTTTTTTCAGTACTTTAAAGTACCACTGGACCATTGTATATAAACAACTATTCTGTTAAATTTATGAGCAATAAAAGTAAGCAATTATATACAAGATAGAGCTTTATTATATGCATTTTATACATATTACTTAATTATATAAAATTTCACAAATTTAACTCTTGAGAGAAAAATTAAAAGATCGATTCTCTAAATAAATCAAATAATCATCCAATAATTAAGTACAATATACTACCAACTGCTCTGATCATAGATAAAATCATAATTGACAAAAATACTATATTTAATAATAATAATAATAATAAATTAATTCATTAATGATAGCTTTTTAAAAAAATAAATATAACTTACTAAATGCAAGATAAGGATTATAGACACTGCCATGAACCGAGAAATATTTTGTAAAATTATTTGATGTAAATAAAATGATTATTAAACCATTCAAAAATATCTATGAAAGAACAAAATATGTTCTAAATAATCTATAATAATCATCTTTCTTTGTAGAAGCATTGTGATTTTGTTTCCTTTTACAAAGTTCTTTAATAATATTATCATATTCTTTATTAATTTCAGTTTTGCCGGTCAGAAAAACATCTGTTTCACTATTGTCATTAGTTAATACAGCATTCGAGTTTTCTACTTTAATATTATCACCTTTAGTATCCCAGGAAATGTCATGAGTATTACAAAAAGCATAAATCGTAAGAATATTTATGTAGAAAGGAACAAGTAATACATATTGGACTAAATAGCTAAACATGTGCCATAGCTCACAATGAATAAATGATGAGAAAAGATATAATATATAAGTTGAAGCAACAGAAATTACAATATCACGGAATGTTGGATTTCTTAGGGCTTCTTTAATACTTGATGGACTCTTAAAATCTATCGGCAGAACTTCTGTGGAAAAGACTAAATATATAATATAAATTGAGCAAAAAATCATTGTAGCCATGACAACTGCAAAGAGAATTATACAAAGCTTGTATATAAATTTTGTTTCTTGAGGACGATTGCCCATTGAACATATAAATATTATTATGATAATTATCAAATATAATGCCCTTGCCATATCAAATAATTCATTTCTGAAATCTCAAAAAGAATCAGTTGCAATTTTTGAAATAGTCTGAATTAAGAAGAAAAAAGTCAAGAAAAAATTTGCCTAATTTAAAAAATTAAATAAAAATAAATATAAATATAATATTATATTAAGGCCATGTAAACTTAATAAATTGGTTTTCATAATCCTGTTAGGTCAAAATTTGCAAACCTTTGAAGAAAAATTTTGACTATATTTACTATCCAAATTGGTTTTTTAGAAATCTGTAAAAAAAATTTTATATATTTTTTATATATAAAATTTTTTGAAAATAAAATTAAAAGCCATATTGTCAAGTCATTTTTAAAATTTTATATTATGAGAACCAAAAAATAAATTAACTTTGTATGGCCTAAATGAGAGGGTAAAATAATAATATAATATTACCAAAGAGAACCAATTAAATATTAATTGTATAGCATTATATATAAATTGTATTTGTAATAATATTTTGCAATAAAGAGGTTGTCCAGAAGTCCAGATACAAGTAAATTTAGCAATTGAGTAGAAAGCAGTAAAGAAAGATCTATTTAGCCAACAACGATGCTGAGATATAAATTCAGATACATTGTCTGGGACATCAGTTTCTGCCTTTGCAGACTAAATATAACAATTTATATTTAATTTCAAAATGGATCTTAACAATAATTAAAATTTACCATAGTCACCCTAAATAACGCTTCAAGGCATTGTTTAGGATAAATACAGTAATATAGCTACTAAACCTTAATATATTTCAATTTCCATGATTAGTTTTTCTTAGTTATAAGCTCAAAACTTAAAATACAGTTTTTAGCCAGGTACATATTTGCTTCAAATATTTCAGTTTTATCAGCATCAGATCTATACATTTTCTCACCCTTAAAGTATATTGCCAAAGGTCCTTCGCCTTGTTCATTATTCTTTAAAGCTTCATACCTGTATGCTGAAAAAGCACCTGGTAATACAGAGATGTAACCAAAAACAGATTCCAATAGTTTATCTAAAATATTAGACATTTTATATTCAAAGTTTTGAGACACGACCAAAGGATTTAAAAGGTTTTTGTATTTATGACCAAGATCCACTTTGATTTCTCCACAAGCACCACCAACTTGAGAATCACAGTTAAAAGCTAAAAATTTAATAGATTAAAAGAAAATAACATACGCTATTTAATAATTAACTGTGTATAATTTTAATTATGAAAAGAATTATTTACCTTTCCACAAATTGTAAATTGAAGTATAAGAAGGTTTAGTGCCAACGTCAAGTAAAATACAAATTTTTGGAGACAATAGATTAGCAACATTGAATAACTAACGATGCGAATTTATTTTTTTTGCATTTTTTTCTTTTAAACAAAACATAACCTGAACTGGTAAAACACTTTGTTGAGCCTGAAAATTATTATCGATAATTATTTGTGTAGTATATTCAAAAAAATGTGCAATGACTGGTTTTTTATTAACATGAAATTGTATGATTCTCCCTTGATAAATACCCATGATAGCTAATACTTTCAAAATTTCATCATTGATTTTATTACGGCCATCTGATATTATCAATACAACAACTTTTTTCCAACCATCAGATTCCCAAATACTTGATCTTTCCTTTGAACATAAGTAGGATACATTTTAATAACTGAGGACATTGTTTTAATGAAAAGATGAACATCTTTATTATATAAAGTTATGACAATCAAAATTTCAGTTTCTTGTTCATAAATTTTTTGTCGAATTAAAAAATTATTATTTTTAAAGTCATCAAGATCACATGTAATAGCAGTATATCTTATTTGTTTAAATTCATCTGTATTAGTAAATGCAGCATCTTGAAGAACCAAATCAGGCACTAGCCTGTCAAGCACCAAGTTTCTACCTGCTGGTGGGACACGACTAAGAGACTAAGCAAAACATTAAAAAATAGAACAAAGTTTCTATATTTACTAATAAAATTTTAAGATTATATTTATAGCTTTGAACTATTGTTTATATTTATTTTAAAATCTAATAAAAATGAATTAAAAACATTTGTTAGTTGGTTGATTTAAATTCTAAATTAATAAAAAATTCTACCTTGATTTTTTTTACTTGTATTCATTATATTTGAACTAACTGTAAGATTAAAGAAATGAAAAAAAAAACAAATCAGCTTTATAACCTTTATAATGATTGAAATTCAATGATTTTAAATTAAAAAAAAAAATCAATTTAAGATTGATGATAAGCCAAATTGAATTAAATATGGTTTTGCATTAAAACTAATGCAGAATACAAATAAGTCTTATTATTATTATATCAAACAATTCTTCATTTAATTATTATCATTATATCAAAATAGTTAATATACCGAGATAGGTCCTTGCGTACAATATACCATTAGTTAGTAATAAAAATACGGCACTAGCATTGTTGCACATAATCCGTAACTAAGCATTTTTTTAAATAGCAAATTCTGTAAATTATCGTTATGAAATTCGATTTTCTTTTTTTTTTTTTATAATCAAAAAATGCTAGTTAAGCGAATTTTGTTATTAACTCTTAGTTGATATTTGACATATTTAAATCATTAATGTTTCATCGTCAATAAAATAGATTAGTTCTTCTAATTCTATGATTATTTTTGACTAGTCATTTTCTTCAAATAATTTATTTACTTGAGAAATTATTTTTTTTATTATTGAATTTTGAAATAATTTATTAGGATTATTATTTTTATTATTCTTAAACTGTAATTTACTTCTTGTGTAGTTCTTTTTATTATTTCGTCTGTTTATGTTTCCAAGTTTATTTTTAGTGGTGAAAATGCGACTTTTCTAATTAGATTAATATCAGATGAGACATTTTTATCAAGAAAATTCATTTAGCAAACTTAATATTAAATTTATTATATTATTTTTTATTTAATGAAAAAACATAATTGATTATGATATCTTTTAACAATATAATGCTAAATACAATACAATCAAAATAATTTCTAGTTGAAGAATAAATATTTAAGTAGAAAATTTTAATTTAGAACATTCTGTTTAAAATGTTATCAGAATTAGAACTATTTTTGTATATTTTATTTTTATCTGGACTGAGAGTTGCAATATTTTATCATAACTTACTAGTAACTTTAATTCAATATCACAAAAAAACTAAAATTACATATTTTCTTAAATTGGTCTTCAATTTTTTTAGTGGATTGAAGTTCACTTTTAATTTTATTTATCTCTTCTTAGCTTCAAATTGTGAAATTCTTGGCTACATATATGCTATTATAAACCTTATATATCAAACTTCATTAGTATCTTTTTTATTATGGATATTAAAAAAAATTAACCAAGATTGTATATCTGATAATGTGATTAGTTTAGTGCTTTTGACAACAAGAATTTTATTTCAGGTAATTGTTAGTACTGTTGTAAATCTTAAAATTCAGATTAAATTTCTAATTTATATCTTATATATTAGTTTGCACAGATTTTATTTCTTCATCCAAAATCTGCATTAAATTCAAGTTCAGAAATTCAAATTGCATGTAATTCAGCATTTTTTGAAAATCGCATTGCTGTTTTGGGCTTTATAACCACTGATTTTAACATAGAAATCTTTGTTGCATTTAGATTTTTTCAAATTTTGCTAAAAAACGAATATTCATTTAAGTATAATTCTTTCAATTCTAATTTGTCATTTGATAAATCAAGAAAGCAAAATTATGCTATTCTTTTCTGATTTGTTATATGTATTAGTGTAGCTGCTTTCTTAGGTATTATTAGTATTCTAGATACATTAGGAGTAGAAGATCCAAATCAAATTGTTTCTCAAACATTAAATTTAGTTGATAGAAACTATTTTTAAAGAAAAGCTTAAAGAAATAATCTTTCGATTAAAAGAAGAAAACCAAGGAAAACAATGAAATCAAGTTCTTAAAACTCTTGAAGCATGCTACTACTTAGAACAACTAAGAGAAAGCATAAAAGAAAATAGACAAAGATTAAAGTATACTTGAAATACTTTAAAGAAATCTCTAAGTCCTCGATGAGCCAACAGATTATGGAAGTGCTCTGAACGAGTTTATCAAATCTTTCAGATATGTGGACTATCAAGACTTGCTCCACTATAAAGATAATATTCACTAACTTAGAAGAGTTAAGTGATGAAGATTTTACGGAACTCCTAGAATTAATTAGAATTCGCAGTGCTCATTTTTAAAAGAGACAGAAATGTTATAAAATGAGTTTAATTATTTTATTATTATTAGTATTTTTATTATAAATAGTTAATTTCTTGAATGTATTTTATTATTATCACTTTTACAAATAACTTAGTAGTCACAGATAGATTTAAGTTATGCCATTAGATCCAGCTCAGAGAGACCTTTCAAATAAGCTATAATTCATAACTGTAGAACTCTTAGTTTTTGAGTTGTCTTAGAAACAACTAAAAATAATTTACCGTTTTTACCGTTCTTACCATTTTTACTGTTCTTACTGTTCTTACCGTTTTTACTGTTCTTACTGTTCTTACTATTCTTACTATTCTTATCATTCTTACTATTCTTATTCTTAATTGTAAAAAGCTATATAAACCCTCCCTTTTCCCTTTGCCCCAGATTAGGTTTGACCTCTGCAATCTCCTTAATATTAGAATTTTCTTAGCACAGAAACTAATAGATAGTCTTGTATTATCGATATTGTATCATAAATAAAGTATAATCTTTGCTCTTTCATTAACTTTGTAACGAACTGCCACAGTAAAGTAATATTCCACTTGGACACTGTTGAGAGCCCTCTTCTATGTCTTATGTTACTTGTGTTGTATTAAGAAGACCGACACTTGTAACAATAGTATCAACTTAAAAAAATTAAAGAGCTTAGCACAAAAAGAAGAAAAAGCTTTTGGTTTAGAGACTTAGAAAAAATACTTCTCAATAACTAGAATCTGAGATCTCTAAAGCCAAGATTTACTTTTAGAGAAGTTATTAATAGAGCTGTAAAAAGACCAAATCTGAATAAAATATCAGAAAGGAAGCCAAAAAAAATAGGTAACTCTGAATGAAAATACTGAAGAAATATGGAGAGTAGAAAAAATTATAAACAAAATGAAGAAAATAGCAAAGATACAGAAATAGAGAATAGTTAAAAAACTATCAGAAAAGGAATTCTTAATAGAAAATATTCTATCAAACTCAAAAAACAAAAGGTATAAACTCAATATGCTTAAAAATATAACTAACTAGATTAAGTACAAGCCAGGTAGATATTTATTAAGCATAGCTTCAGAAGAGCTACAAAACTATTCTAGTAATTGCACTGCAGATATACAAGAAAGCAAAATATAGAAAATAGTAATTAAGAACTACTCCTGGAGTAATTACCTAATAGACAAAATATTTTCATGCTCAAAAGAAAAAAAAACATTATTTAAGCTCTATGTAATAATAATCAAAATCTTAGTTAAGTCTATATTTACACAGACAGCTCCTTAAGAGATGATTAAAAAAGTATTAAAAAGCTTAGTTATGCTTTTGTACAAATAGGAGCTAATAATGAAATTATCTGCAAAGTCAAAAGAAGAACAGATAACTGGGCATCATTTACAAGAGCTGAGTTAATAGCAATATTAGAAGCATTAATTATAAGTTCTGAAAAATGTGAAACAAATATATATACAGATAGCACAGTAGCTATTCAAGCAATAAGCAAAAGCAAAAAAGAGAAAGTGAGAAAATAGCTAAAATTAACCAATATAGTAATTCTCAAAATGATAAAGCTAATAGTTAAAACCAAAAATATTAGTCAGATTTTGTATAAAATTAAGGCTCATACAGAAATTAGAGAAAATGAAATAGCAAATACTGAAGCAAAAAAAAGAACAAAAGAACACAAAATAGTCAGAGTACAGCAAACTCAGATTAAAAACATAGTATTTAGTACTATATAAAAAAGAATAGAAATTGAAAGACCAATTAGAAAGTTTATTAAGAAGCTAAATAGTAGTATAGTCAAATCAGAATAGGTTTTTATAAGAGAAGAGAAAGATAAAATACATAGTAACAAAAAAGATAATATGAGTTAGAGTTTATTTAGTAGATTAGTAAATAGGCTTTGAAAGAAGCAAAGAAATAGTCTAAAAAGAATAGCAAATAGATTTTTACTATAAAGTGTAGAAATAGACTACTTTCTATATATCTATTTCATTCTGATTTATACAAAAACGGTATTTGCTCAAGGTGTTGAAGTAAAAAAGAAACCTTTGAACACTTACTAAGGTATATCTTAGATAAAAGAAAAATAAAAAGGATTAAAGAAGAAAGTTTTAGAAAAACTAGAAAAACTATTCCATTTAACTGAAATATCTAAAGTACAAAAAAGAAAAATCAGCAAACTCTTTTTTCCTATAGAATAAACAAAGATTAATTTCCAAAGACAAGAAATCTCAAGAGGTTTCATACAAAAGAAACTTATTAATAAACTTCTCTTACTTGGAATCTCAAAAAGAGAATCTAAATTAATACTACAAACATATCTTGAAGAGTAGTTCAATAGCTTTCAAGAAGAAATATAAAAAACTAGATACAAAGAAATTATAACTTAGGAAAAAAAAAAGGAATCTCAAACAAAAAAAAAAGAAGCAAACCAAATAAAAAAATAGAAAAAAGTACATTACCACTTACAGAACAGATTCTAATAAGAAAAAAATAAACTTTTCAGTACAAGAAATAGCTTTCAATAAGATAGAAACATAGATCTATACAGGTTATTCAAAATCTTAGTTAATATACTAAGTTAGTTATGATAGGCTACAAATTCTAGCTGGTGACTTTTGAGTATCTGCTTTTGCAAAAAAGAAGAACTAAGAAAGGAAGCAAAATTTGTTATAGCAGGTCAAACATAGGTGTTTTAAATGATAACTGAGTTAGTCACACTTTTAAAATTAGATCAGCATAATATAGTTTAGAGAATAGTAAAAAATATATGTATTTATACTTTAATTTTCTTAATAAATCAAAAAGTTGTGACATAACTGCTGAAAAAAAAAAAAATTTATTTAAATATTCAAATTAAAGCAGTTTTATTAAATTCAATATTGTAAATTTTTAATATTATATAAAAATTATATAGAAACTATATTAATTACAGTATATCAGATTGTAAGTTTTGTAATCTGAAATATCAAGATTAGAAGTTTCTTAAATTTAAAATTACTATAGTAATTCTTATAGCTTGCTAGTATATAAGTATTTAGATTTAAAATATAATATAGATGGGTAATTTAGTGAAGTTAACTTTTATTAACTATATCATATAATTTATTAATCAAAATTAAATAATTTTAATACTATTTAATTTGACTTATTAAGATGAATAGAATGGTACAAAAATTATTAAATTTTGATTATTAATAGATAAAAAGATATTAACATTTAAAGTTATATATATTTTAAGAGTAATTCTATTTTAACTTGAGTTAAAATAATCTGATCCTAAAATGTAACCATTTAGAATAGAAGAAGATAAAAAATAGAGTTTATTTTTTAGCACCTTTTATTCTAATTAGTCATATCTTGAAAGTCAGATTATTTTAATTAGATTAAAATAGAATTATTCTATTTTTAATATTATATTATAAATAATATTTAATTTAATATTTAGATAATTATTTTAAAAATAAGTTCTAGTAAAGATAATAGCAATATATCAGTTTCTTCAATAATAAAGGCAAACAAGTATCTAAAAATATTAGTAGTTATCCAGAAGGTCCAGTTTGGAATTATTTTACAAAAGAAAAAAAGTAGAAAAGGAAAATATGAAGCAATTTGTGATTTATGTGAATCAACTTAGAATTATGATGAACTAATTAAATTAGAAAATTATTTAGCTAATTATTGTTCTATAGCTGATTCTACTATAATTTGACAATTTCTTGAAAGAGTTATTTCTAGTAGTTCTAAAAAAAATGAATCTAATAAAAAAAGAAAACTTAATATTCTTAGTTCTCTTAATTAATATATTAATTCAACTAAATTAGATTCTCAAATAACTAAAAAAATTCATCTTGCTTGGGCTAGAGCTTTTGCAATGTATAGAATTTCTTGGCATACTATTAAAAATTCTTTTTTTATTGAAGCTTTAAAAAAACCAAAATTTATCATATGAACTATCTTTATGATAATTTTTATCTAGTTAATTATTAGAACAACAATTAGCAATTATTAA